TAAATTTACCATCAAAGGTAGTTTATCCAAAAGAACTAAGACTGCTGTAGTAGACCAGCGAGGCCTTGCCTTACCCCAACACAATTTAAACCAAGGCATCTCAGCATCCCTTAACCTTATACCATCCCATGCAATTTTAAAAGAAAACCTACCCTCATCCCACAAAAATTTATCAACCCCGTCTTTAATTAAAACATTCTGCAGAAATAATTTAAATTGCACCAAATTTTCATGTTGCAGACAATGAAAATTCCAAGCCCCATTGTGAATTAAAAAACTTACCAGGGTATCTCTAGGTAGTTGCAAACTTCTAACCACACTATGACTAAACACAGCATTAAGAAGTTGGCCTTTACGCTAGGGATCCTTAAACAACCAAGTATTCTGACCATTCCCAAACTGAAACTGAACATACTGCTGCATCACTTCTCTAACATCAACCATGGATTTCCAAATAGAAGAGCTAGTTTGTTTAACTATTACAGACCAATAATTAGTAATTGTTGAATTTGATTATTCAGCTCTAGCATCTCCATTGGTGCCATCCTGTATAGTGACCAAGCAATAGGTGTAGTGCCTGGAGCTAAATCAATCACAAAGTTTATCTTTCGATTAAGTGACAATCCTAGAATCTGTTGAAATACATTCGAAAATTCATGTACAACTGGTATGCTATCTAGTGATACAGTAATCTCCTCCTCAGACTCCTCCACACAACGTAGAACAAGTATGTGCCCCGTTAGAATGTGGCTTAGTTATGACGTACATATCCTGACCCAGTATCATAACTGGGCATAGTAGTGAGATAACCAGTCCATCCTAAGTATCACATCATAAGAATGCATGTCCAGAACCAATAGATTGGTTAGAACTCTAATTCTACTAATATCTAATGTCACATATCCATCACTCTTATGTAAAATAGAAGTAACACCTATAGGTGTAGCAATACTATGTGGTCGATCACATAACTACGTTGTCATCCCAGATAATGTAACAAATGAACAAGACACGAATGAATGTGTAGCACCCGTATCAAACAAAACATGACCATATCTACCCTTTACAGGAAATATACTCTCAATAGCCTGAGATGACTGAATGTCATATGGCATGTGGGTATACACCCTACCATAATGCAGCTGCTGCGGTGCCTGTCCCTATGGCGATGACCCTGGTAAAGCTGGGAATGTCTATCCCTGAATACGTGGAATCTGTGGAGAAGGTAAAGGTAATGGTGCCTTCTGTCCCTGTTGCACCTGCTATCCCTGTCTAGTCTTAGGACACTTTCTGGAAAGGTGTTCAAGCTCACCACAATTATAGCAATTACCCCTGAAGGTACGAAACTGTCTCTTATGCTGGTTAGCCTGTGGCTGACCATGTCCTGCCTATGGTCCCCCATTCTGCTGTCTCTGAATAAGTGCTCCATCTCTCTAAGCATCTCAACCTCCCTTGTGTTTCTTCCAAAGCTATTGTCCCTGGAATATGCCCATGTCATTCTTTCTGTACTTATTGCCATTCCCTTTCTCAGCTATCTGATTAGTAGAATCTTTGTCACCTCACTTCTCATCCCTAGCCTGTCTGTACTCCTTCCTCATCTAGCAATGTTGCAAAGCTGTGTCCACTACCTAAGTGTAAGTAATGTAGGTTAGACTACCTATGATGACTTTCTTAATAGGCCAGATCAGCCCATTAACAAAGCAAGTACGCTTTTTCTCCTCGGTATCCACTTTATCTGGAGAAAAAAATGATAGATTAGTGAACTATTGCTCATTCTCTGCAACTGTCCTGTCCCCCTACTGTAAGTCAAGGAACACCCACTTCTTAACTGCTTTGATTGCATATGGAAAGTATTTTTCATCAAAGCGAGCCCTGAACTGAGCATAAGTTAGTGAAATCCTATCATATATGGTGGTAACGGACTCCCACCACTAGAGTGCATCTCCGACAAACTTGAAAGTAGCAAGCATCTACTTCTGAACCTCCATACACTCAACCATGCGAAGATGACACTCTATGTCCTTCTTCCACTGACGAGCTACTTTCACACTGGTGGAGCATGAGAACTCAGGTGGGCTCCCCTTTGTGAAAGAACTTCTAGCTTTCTCCTAAGGATAAGCTTGAACCCCTAGTACTAGTACTAGTGCCTACTAAACATGTGGTTGACTCTGAAGTGTAGTTGTTACGCTTGCTGCTACAGCCTGAGCAATGATGTTAGCTACCTAAGGAGGATTCTCTGGATTCCTACCTTGAGTGTGGCCCTGATCTCGAGACTCCTGAAACTGCTAAATTAGCATGGATTACAAAAGGATAAATAAAGAATAAATAAAATCTAAAAGAAAAATAAAATAATAATTAATTAATTAAATCCTCCAAGAATAAAATCGCAAATAATAATAACCTCCTTAATATAAATATCCAACTCCTCTGATACCAATACAACTCGGGAATCCATAATGTGTGGACCGCTAGATAAATCCCAACTGAAAGTAAACAACTGAAATAAATGTTTAAAACTAAAGACTGAAAACATAATGTAGAATCCTACGTAGATAGTCAGAATAGTGATGAAGACTGGTCTCTACTCTGCATAAACAATCCCTACGCCTGATATTGACGAACACCTGAAAAATAATAGTGGGTCAGGTCCACAAACAAGTCCTTTCTATTACATCCTACAGAGATCTAAAGAATGAATACATCCTAGTCAACTCATACAATAGCTACCTAGTTGGTATATATATATAGATACACAATAAAGGACTCTCACTGGACTATAGGGCAGAACACACAATCCTCTATATCCAGCTATGCATCCCCAAGGCAATATATGCTTCCTAACCACTGATCCTAAGATCTCAAGCTCATATCGTGGCACATATCCATATATATAAATCCATATCCTATCCAAAACATAAATTAAACTATCCACCATAGTCTTTCAATGGCATGTCATCCACATATAAATCTGTGACCTAAAACGAAGAGTGAGACTAAACTTATTAGCCAACTCGTCCATAATATGCCCCCATATCCTGACAATGGTGTATAAATCCGAAATTATATCTTAACAATGGTTCCCAAACCAATAAATGATGCAAACATATATAACATCCAATAAATAACATAGAAAGATCCAATATATATATAATCACATAATACTGTCATAAACATGATTATAATCATTTAAAAACATACATTGCAATTGTTATAACAATTTTAAGTAATATAAACATTAATTAAACAACTTATAATTCATTTAAATTCCATTATGTGTCAATTCTTAGCATATTAATGTATATTATGCATTCTAGAAATTTACCAAGTGCATTTAACCCATTTAAATTAATTAAAATAGGCTACAACAATTTCTGGAAACCCAAAACGTAAATCCCAACTCTTAGCCTAACTAACTCGATTTCTTCTCAGAAGAAGTCGACTTAGTTTCTAACTGAGTTAGCTATTCTCAAATAAGTCAACTTCTTCTCTAACCAAGTCAACTCAGTTCCAACTGAGTCAACTTCTTCAACAATTGAGCCGACTTAGTTGGAACTAAGTGGACTCGTTCCTGCCGCGAGTCGTCTTCTCCATATCCGGGCACTATAATTCACTTGTAACTCCTCCATTAAGGGTTCTAATAATCCATTCTAAGTTCCATATGTCCCCAATAATTTATTTAAAGTGATTAAGCATGTAAAGATCAAGTTTAAACAACAAATCATACATCGAATCTCAAGATAATACAAAGCAAGAATATATACATATATACACATATAACCTCAGTTTTAATCAGATTTAAGCATGCAAACATGTTTATTAATCATGCTTAATCATCCTAAAGTTGTTTTAGATATGCATTGAACTCTAGATCAAAGAAGAAGAGTAGAATATAGAACTTGCCTTAAGGTTTCGGAATGAAAACCTTGAAACTCCTTCTTCTCCTGCCAATTCCTCAACACTGATAGCCTCTGGTTGCTATCGTCCTCCTCTGCTGGTCTACTCCTAATCATGCATAGCCTCTTCTTCTTCCTCCCACCTTGGTTCGGCCTTCACTTGGCCTTACAATCTCCTTCTTTGCGTCGCCTCTCTTTTCCTCTCTGTAACTTTCTCTCTCTGCCTCTATATATGCACATAAATCTCTTTCCCATACAATACATATACATATATATAGACTAACCCTACTCCTAATCCTACCCCAACTCACATTCTGACTTAAGGAAAAAGAAAAGGGAAAAGGAAAATAATAATAATAACAATAACTAATATAGTAATAATAATACTAGTTATACTAATCATACGTAAATACATATATATGCACAATAACACACACACACACACATATATACTTGATCCTTCCTTTAATATTATTTATAATATAATAGCAATAATATCCATATGTATATATATACACAGCAATATATATATATATATATATATATATATATATATATATATATATAACTCCTACCAATAGGTCATATTCCTTACTTATCTAAGCTTCCTATCCAAATAGTCAATGAGACCCATATGGTTGGTCCATTACTACTATCTAAATCCATTCTTTTAAATAAATAAATAAATATTTAATTCCTAACAAATAATTACAAATAAATACACACAATTAATCAAGCAATATCACACAATCAATTAATTAAATGCACACCATTAAATCATATAAACAATTAAATCAAATTAGCATATAATTCACATAGCCACGTAATTAATTAAATGTAATAAAATAAATAAATAAATCCTCTAATAAATCCTTTAAAATTAGGTGTATTACATAAACACATAGCACTAATAGCATACAAAAGATATGAGCATAAACTTTACAAGTTCTAGCATTCCAGCCATAAAGAGACATTTTCCATTCCAAGCATTGATTCTGTTGGTAAATTTATCTATCAAACTACTACAATGCATTTTCCTGAACCTATTAGGCAGTAAAGGGAGGCCCAACTATGTGAAAGGAAAAGACCCCCACTAAAACAGTCTCCTCAACCTTCTTCTCCTCTTTTTACTGACTTCGTAAAGAAAATATTACTCTTCTCTGGGCTCACTTTTAAACCTGAAAGCATTACAAACTTACTCATAGCAGTGACAGGGTTTCTTGCAGTTTGGACATCAGCTTTGAGCACTACCATCAAGTCATCAGCAAAGAACATATATAATACATGTAAACCTTCCTTAGAGATTCCTCTAAGAAGAGTAATTTGACCTTCCCTCACCATATTAGCCATTTGATTTGAGAAGTACTCAGTAACTAAGGTAAAAGGCAAAGAGGACAGAGGGCATCCTTGTCTCAAACCTTTACTTGGTTGAAAGACCCACATGGAGAACCACTTATGAGAATGGAAAACCAAGCAGAAGAGAAGCATTCCATGACCCATGTGATCCAAGAATTACCAAAGCTATAAGACACTAGCAGCTCCCTTAAAAAATCCCACTACATTGAATCATAGGCCTTCTTCAAATCCACCTTCAGAGCAAACAAAGGAAAGCAATTCTTCCTAAAAAAATCCATGTATTAGCTCATGAGCTAGAATAATGTTATCTTGGATTCTTCTACCCTTGATAAAGGCTGACTACTCACCTCACACAAGTTTTGTTAAGACCAAACATAATCAAGAAGCCATTATCTCAGTGATAACCATATACACTACATTACATAGTACTATAGGTCTAAAGTCCTCTGCCCTAACACATTCATTCTTCTTTGGAATCAGAGTTATAAAAGAACTATTGATTGACTTGGAGAGTTTAGCATTTTCAAAGAAAATTTTCACTACTTGAGTGAGATCCTTACCAATAATATGCCAATACTGTTGATAGAATCTTAGGGGAAATCCATCAAGACCTAGAGATTTATTAGGCCACATTGCTTCCTTAACCTTCTGTTCACTCCACTGCTTCTCTAAGTTCATAGCTTTTTCCACAATAAGCTTCTTTCTAGGGTTCTCCATATATACCTCATCACCCACTCTGTCTTTAGTAGCAAACAACCCTCGAAAGTAGTCCACCATCATTGTTTTGATAATCTCTGGATCTTGAATCATGTTACCACTAGAATCCTATAACATTGTTATTGCATTAGTAGTCTTATGTTATGCCATTCTCCTATAGAAAAATTATGTGCACCTATCATTATCTTTAATCCATCTTATTGAGCTACTAAGATCTCCTCATTTGCTAGAGCCAATTCCATGTCTTTATTGGCTTCAACTTCCTTTGCAATTAGAGTATAGTCAAAAGCTTGCTGTAACAACTCCATTGGAACTCCCTACAAGTGATTCCTAGCCGTAGAGACCTATGTATACACATAACCTAACTTGTTGATGTTCCATACCTTTACTGCCTCCTTGACTTCCCTCAATTTCATTGTAAACCTGTATAGAGGATCTCCACCCATATTACTCTTCTATGCCTCAGCAACAATAGCTTTCATCCCCTCCTACTGCTACCACACCTTTAAAAACTTAAACGGTTTAGGACTAGAAGTCATCATCACCCCCTGCTGGATAACCATGGCATAATGATATGAAATAGAAGCAGCAGTGAGATAGATTTTAAAATTAAGATATGAATGCAACCACTTCAAGTTCCCCAACCCCTTGTCCAGCCTTGTATAAATCTTATTAGTGAGACTCTGTCTATTACACCAGGTTAGCTTGTCATTAACAGTAGGAAGTTCAATTAATCCAATCTCATTCATTGTATCATTAAACTCATCTAAAATCCTTTACGGAACCTGATGCCCACCAATTTTCTCCCCATGTTCTCTAATGACATTCTAATCCCCTAAAGTTAGCTATGCACCATCAACACTAGTAGTATATTGCTTAAGGATGGACCACAACTACTTCATTTCCTTCTCAGAATTTGTTGCATATACTGGAGATAGCCATGATATTGATGAGGACCCTAAATATTCTACCTTCAGAAGCATAATCTGTACACTAGCCTCCACTAAAGTAATATCAACCTTACTTGGATCCCATGCAATCTATATTCTACCCAGATGATGATGAGAGTAGTTATTAATCCACTTCTATTGATTATAAATCCTATTTGTAATAGCGTCAAATTTACCTACTTTAACTCTTGTCTCAAGTAATCGTACAACAAAGAGTAAGTGTTGGGCCATCCAAAATCTCACCTCTTTTTACATTCGTGGCCCGTTCAGGCCGTGAACATTCCAGCAACCAATTATGGAAGTGATGGGTTGGAAGAAAGCCCTTCCACGGCCACCATATGTCTTGTAACCCTTTGAGTCACTTACACACGTCTTTTTCCTATTTTTCTTCTTTTTACCTGCAGATAGCACACTTGTATCCTTTGATCCCTCATTATTCCCCATGAAAATCACCTCATTTCATAACATAGTGAAAGAACTTGAGAGCTGCAAATTTGTTTGTTAAGATATTTGAGCAAACACCTGGTGTACTTGATCCTACACTTGTATTGTATCCACCACTTAATCATTTTCAACTACAACATTGTCCTTGCTAAAGTCCTTCTTAATAATGTCTTGCTCTGAGCTCTCCCAACCAGTGTGGCCACCAGAAAAGGTTGCGAGCTATCCTCTTCCACAATGACTTCCTTGTCATTCTGCTTAACCTTCCAAACTTGTTTTTCTTTATTAATTTTCTTCTACACTCTTTCAATTGGACAATATTTGGCACCATGGTTAACACCATGACAGATAGAACAGATTTATGGCTTCCAAGCGTATTCTACCCTTATACGACACCTAATATCATGGATCATAAATTCAACTTCAGCAGGTAATTCTTCATGCACGTCCACCTCTACCATGACCCTTATAAATGCACCACGATCCCTAGCCAGAGACACATTGTCTATACAAATTAGTTTGGCAAATAGAGAACAAATCTTCGATATGGAAGACAGAGCTCGACAGTGCATAAGAACATCACACAATTTGATCCAAATTGCCACTAAGCCCAAAACTTCCTTCTTAAGGTCGACATTCTTGTCCCACTTCTTCAATATCAATGGTTGTCTTTCATATGTATGGATCTCAGATAAAACATTCTCCAAATCTTGCACCAAATCAAATTTGACCATAAAGAATCCATCATGCAGCATGACAATCTTGATTTCACCCACTGATTTCCACACCTTTAGCATAAATAATTTGAAAATTTTTGGCATTGTGTTTTCATATAGTGGTCCACATTATTGGTCTTCTCACATTTTTATGATTTCTAACTTCTAAAGTACTTTAATTTGCACATGAGCACACTTACATCTATTTTGTGGGGTATGAACTTGAGATCTTGTTATGTTTTGTAATTAACTGAGATGAGTTAGTAAATTTTGAAATTTTAAGAACTATGGTATAATGATAAGTATATATTCAAAATTAGACCGGTTTCCACTGAGTAACTGGGACTCTTGCCTCATTAATCATTAAGGATTCGCATTAATGTGAAAAACTTAGGAAAAGTGGAAGTTGAAGCGTTAGTTTGGATTTGTTGCCTAGTTAACTCAAGTGATTAAGTCATTTGGGGTGTCTCAACACCTAATGCCCTAAAACCATCCTATTTGGGAGTCATTGACCTAAAGCTTACTACATGGGTTTTCTAGAGAGCTTAAGGGATCCGAACATTGCACAAAGCTTTTGTTGAAAAAAGGAAAAAAAAAAATGAAAATTGAGAAAACTAATGCATACACTGTTAAAATTGTTATTTATGCCTCGTGTCTTTGAATTTGAAGAATTGCTGATGAATTGAGGAATGTTATGGAATATATATGAGCATGGATGGTAAGCAACATAGATGGATATAATTTCACTTTTATAAAGATGCTAGAATTCAAAATTATTTGATATGTGAATTTGAATTTCATGTGGGGACCATTGTTGTTATACATGATGTTGAAGGTTTGAAATGTCTCTGGATAGTCATAATCTACATACTTGTTGTAATTTATATTTGATTGTAGGGATACTTTGCTATGCTACACAGGTGATGAATGAGCTAAAGTGCGTTAAATGTACAAGTTTTGAATGTTTGTGGTTACCATCTCTAGAAACCCTCCCGAGACTATAACTCTTCCACTAGGGGTAACCTAGGGGATTAAAGGCTTGTTGCATATGCTAAATGAAACCGTGATTCCCATGAAAGCGGACTTTTTCGTTTTGATTTTTTTTTTTTATTTTGTATTGCTAAAGGACTAGTAATATGTAAGTTTGGGGGTGTGACAAGCGCTAAATATTTCATATTCAAGCCCTTAAACATGCATATGTTAATGCCTTAGCGATATTTTTATTCTGGTTTTATATGTATTTTTTATTATTCACTTTTTGTTGGTCATTTCCTGAAGATAATGACAAGAACATGGTTTTGAAGCTTAAAGTAATGTTCCCGAAGCTTTTAGAGATGTCGCGGACCTTCCGGGTCGAGTTGAGAGTCACCAGAGAATAATTGAATATTTTTAAGCCTTAGTGCTCGAGCACAAGTACCTTGAGCTTGAGCACTAGATAGAAAAAAGAAGCAGAAAATTTATAAGTGTTAGAGCTCGAGCAATACACCTTAGTGCTCGAGCACAAAGCCAAAAAGCTCGAGCACTGGACCTCAGTGCTTGAGCACTGATCAAAGAATTTTAGAAAAATGGCTAAATATTAAAGAAAAAAATGCTTCGGAAATTATTGTGAAAAATTTAGCTAAGTATGGACGCAGAGCTTGAGCAGAAGCCTTAGTGCTCGAGAACAAATACCCAGAGCTCGAGCACTAACATCCTAGAAGTCATAAATAGATGTAGGAAAGTTGTAAAATCTCTATTCTTAGTTCCTATATGGGCTTAATTATCCCCAAAAGCAGTAAAGCTCATCCAAATGGGATTAAGACTTGTTCCTTACTATAAAAGAAGATGAGAAGATAGATTGAAGAGGTTCTATTGGTTGTTTTTCTTCTCCGACATCGCAACGACTTTTAGGGTTTTGAAGTTTGAAGATTCCCATTAGCGGTCCATGATGTGTGCTTTCAATGATAAACTACTCGTAATAGAACAAATCCTTGTAGTATAGGGCTATATTGAGGGTGTCAAACCTCAAGGACTGTGGTGTATTGTTAAGTATAAAATTAATTGCTAATTTGATTTAAGAGAAGAAGGAATTTTGATGTTTTTTATTTATAAATTGCAAACAAAATAAAAACTAAAAATAAACTAAGCTACTAAAAAGAGATATCAAGAGATAAGGGAGTTAGGGTATTGACTTCACCACTAGCTTCGTAACATGGTTAATTGTCTCAACTAAAGGGAATTCATACTTATACATATTTGGGAACCAAATGGCTATAAGCACACTTTAATTCAGTAGGAAGACATATATGAATAAATATTAAACCATAACTCATCTTTGGTT